CTTGCCTACATCTCAAGACGGCCTGCAGGTTTTAATTATGTTCTTTTGTATCAATTATTTTAACATATAAGCGTAGAACTTTAATCTCATTTTCTTCATGTTGTAGATGTTGTCCTCATAACAGGATTATTTTAATTTATGCAATTTTGTGTAGACAATTTTGTTGTTGCCATTTGGTCTTCCAAGATGAGGTTAGAACTGTTGAGCAATTGAATTACTGTAGCCAAAATTGTTAATATACAATTGAATGTTAACATTTAAACTTGATTACAATCTCAGGCATAACGACGACCGTGTACTTGAGAAACTACCTTTATTTTCTGAGCATTTTCTATTCGTTGGGTAAGATGAATGTCATTACAGTTTGCTGACTTTTCTTTGTCTATGATTCCTACATATTTATGTTCGGCTGTTTGTGAACAGGATCAAGCAGAATGCAAAACATACGATAATGTTACCTACTGTAAAGATCTCAATGATGTTTGGAACACGTGTCCTGATTTTAACGAGCTAAATACACTTTTGGTCAATGATTCAGCGGAAAAAATGATTTATAATCCGGTAAGTTGCATTTATGCAATATGTTTTTCCAGTTAAACAGGTGTTCATACATTGATTATTTTAACAATTTGTGTGTTTATATAGAAATACAATTACATATGTCCACATACATTTGACGTTGCTTCCCATTCGAACTACAGTGCTCTAGGTATGACACAAATTTATTCATGCTTATGCGAATTTAGTTTTTTGTTAGTAAAATTGTACCTCGTTAGTTTGATAATTGAAATTATTTATGTATGTCCTTAGAAAAAGGCGGAAACATACGAGAGTATTTGGAAAATTTGTTGAAGGCGCCTAATGTTCCGGACTTCGTTAGAAATAACCCTTTTTCATCGGATTAATTTCGTTGTCGGTACATTATTTGAACATTGTTGTGTATGTATCTTTTGGTTTGATTATATTATGTGTATATTTCCATTAATTATTCCATATTTGCTTCTCTATATACATATACATTTGAGGATTTTGAAATATCAATACTAGTTATTAATGTATTTTACATCTGCGTGCAAATGTATCGAAACAAATTATTAAAGAAATGTTTTCTATGATCTCCACAACAAAGTTTTCATACTTAGAAATATCGGTATATTTATAATGTATCCAAACTTAAAGTTTCCCATAAAGTGTCGATCCATATATAAAAAGTAACGACCCAAAAAACATCGAAACCCATAATTATAATGTAATGGGTAATTTTTCAATGTAATCGATATAAATATACCGGTTTTATGAAAAATATGTCTACAACATTTATCGACACTTATTAGTATTGTGTGATACTTTTTGTCCAGAATGGATGACAAAAAGGGTGAACCTACAAAGTGTCGATACATTTTCATAGAGTGTCAATCCAAAAGGGTTGCACGCATAAAGTTTCGATACATTTATTATAAGTGTCGATCTCAAAAACATTGAAACCCATAATTATAATGTAATAGGTAATTTTTAATATAACCGGTATATATACCGGTTTTATGAGAGAATAGGTCTATAATATGTATCGACACTTATTAATATTGTGTCGACAATTTTTGTCTAGAATGGATTCCAAAAAAGGTGAACGCATAAAGTGTCGATATATTTTCAAAAAGTGTCGATCCCAAAAACATCAAAACCCATAATTATAATGTAATAGGTAAATTTACAATGTAACCGGTATAAAAATACCGGTTTTATGAGAGAATAGGTCTATAACATGTAGCTACAGTTGTTAAATTTGTGTCGATATTTTTTTCCAGAATGGATGCCAAAAAGGATGAACGCACAAAGTGTTGATACATTTATTAAAAGTGTCGATACCGAAAACATCGAAACCCATAATTATAATATAATAGGTAATTTTGTAATATAACCGATATAAATATACCGATTTTATGAGAGAATAGGTCTACAACATGTATCGACACTTTGTAAATAAACCCCAGGTTTTATTGGCTATGCTGTCAACATGATTAACCTGGATAATCCCAGTTACAGAACTGATTCCGACCATGATTGCGGGAGACTATACTCTACAGATTGTTTGGTATTTATGTGATGATGTGGATGAAATATTAAACGGTCTCGTAATCCACAATAAAAATAGACTAAGAGAGTAAATTTTGTAAATATAGGGTTAATTTTGTATAATTTACATTATACTCAAACTGAGCTTGACTTGAGGACATGTTAGTTTGTTATGTCCCTCACCGTTGCAGTACCCACATCGCCTAATTATCTTCTCGACCTTGTTCTTCGGTACTTCTTTTCGCTTGCGTTGTTTTCGTTGAGGGTCACGAACGTTGTTTACTACAATGCTCTGGTAAATGAGTTTTCTAATTTTTCTATTAGTCTTTTCATCTCATCTCCTGCGGTTTTGAAAGACTCATCTATCTTTGATGCAATGTAGCATAACCTACTTGACGTTGAACGTAGAGCAGCGAACCGTGCCATTTGCATCACTTCTGAAGACACATTCAAGTCAACATAACTGGGTGCAGAAGCCTTCGCATCATTAGTCCATTTACTTTGAATCAAAGTCCCGGGAAAATATGTGTAATACAAGTGCTTCAAAATGTGAAGTTGATAGCGACACGGAAGTCCAACGGTCTCGAATTTTTTGCAGGAGCAAATTAGGGTTTTCGTACGAGAATCAAAACTAATTTCAAATTTCCTATTTTTTTCTTTGTACTTTGACAAAATATAATGTTGACATTCATCTAACAAGGACTGAATCTCTGCCTCAATCCGGTACAATGTCTCCTGTAGAAGTTCATCTTGGAACGCACGAAAAGATTCGCGGGTAAAAATCGTAGCAACATGGCTTTCAAGGTCGAACAATTTTGTAATCTAGAAGGGCTCGTATGGAACTTAAATAATCCGATTTTAACTCGTTCATATGCATTCTACTAATTCCATCTTCAATTGCACGAACAACATCTAAATATGTCTTCTTGTGTTTCAGTGCAATCGCTAGTGAAGCATTCATAGACTCGCACCTTTGTGTTGAGCGAATATTGGCAAAGAAATGACCGGTTAGATATGCTTCTGCCCATAAGTGTCGTGTATTTCCCTTCGTAATCACCCATGGATGCTTTTCGACGTTGAATTCTGAAACAACCGAATGCCATTGAATATCAAATTCCTCGGTTGTCCACCAGGAAGCCATGCATTTTGAGAATGCTGCTGTAAATTTTGGGTCACCAATGTTAGCTTGTGCATTGCGAGAAAGATGCCAAGAACATAATCTATGCTTAGCATAAGGGATAACAGATTTGATAGCCCTCTGCATTGCCCTATCCCCATCGGTGACAACTGAAATAGTTGATTTATTCATCATGGCTTCTAAAAAATTCTGTAGCACCCACTCAAAAGATTGAGACGTCTCGTCAGCGATTATGGAAGTGGCAAACACAATTGTGTTATGGTGATGATTGACACCGACAATAGGCATAATTGGTCAACCATACAAATTATCTTTGTACGTTGTGTCGAACGCAATTACATCACCGAAGCATGTGTAATCCGATCTCGATGTAGAATCCGACCAAATAAGATTATACAATGCCCCTGATTCGTCTACCGAGTATGTCATAAAAAACCTGGGATCATCATGTTTCTTATAATCAAAGTAGGCAATAAGCGCATTCACATCCCCATCGACGATTTCCTTTGCTTTACCTCTTTGAAGTGCATTGTAGAGGTCTTTATGTATAAATCCAACATTATGATAGCCCCCTGCCTGCTGCGTTAAATAGTTCATGACGTGCCAACACTGACCTCTTTCAATGTTGTTGCCTCATCGATATCATCCTTACTTATAGCTCTATTAGAACGCATAAATGGTGTCATAGCAGGTGTGTAGAATGCATGATTATGTTCCTGATAAGACTTACTTATAACCCACTGATCGTTTGTATTTGTTGCTGTAACTACGACTCTTGCCTTACATCCTGTTCTTGTGACTGGCGTATGAGCACGTTGATGATTAACAGTATTGACTTTTGATGCTCGAAACCCTTCTTTGGAACAACAAAATTCTTGTGTCTTCACATTCCGTTATACGTCAAGCCGTGTTGTTCCCTTATGTGCACTAAACCCATGTTCCCTTGTGAATCCCTTATAAAAGTACCAAGCTTGGTCACGTGAACAGAAGAGATGACCAACCAATCTATCAGATTCATCAATATTATGTACTTCATGGCATTCCTCGGTTGGCTTAACATTGTCTGCATCAGTATGATCCATGGCAAAAAATTTGTTGTGCAAGTTCAGTGGTCCTGGAGTTGATGGAGATGTAAGCAAAGGTTCATTGAACATGTTTCAGTCGAGATGCTTTCAATAGGTTGTGGTATTGGTAGTGGTAGTTAAAGGGTGGGTACAACATTAAATTCGCAGTACATATTTAGGTATGTACAATAACTACCTAAATATGTGTCTATACATTTTATACAAGTATCGACCCAAAAAACATCAAAACAAATAATTATAATGTAATAGGTAAATTAACAATGTAACCGATATAAATATATCGGTTAATTAGAAAATATGTCAACATAATGTATCGATACTTGTGTAATTTGTGTCGATACTTATTGTCCAGGATGAATGCACAAACGAGGTGCACGCATAAAATGTCGATACATTTATTAAAAGTATCGATCCCAAAAACATCGAAACTGATAATTATAACGTATTAGGTAAATTTACAATGTAACCGATATAAATATACCGGTTTTATGATAAAATATGTCAGCATAAAGTATCGACACTTGCTAAATTTGTGTCGATACGTTTGGTCAGAATGAATACAAAAAAGGGTGCAACCATAAAGTGTCGATACATTTATAAAAGTATCGATCCCGGAAAAACATCGAAACCCATAAGTATAATGTAATATGTAAATTTTCAAAATTTTAACCGGTCACGCCGTTTTTTAACCGCCGCACAGCAGAACTACCCGGAAGAAAATGCAAAACTACGACAAGAGGTTTGTATATTTACATATTTATTAGGCTAAATTAGTGTTATAGTCCTTGTACTATACTTAAATTTAGGATTTACCTACCAACTTTGGTTTTGCATTATTTTGATCCATCTACTTTTATAATATAATTACCAAGTTCAACTAGTTAATTCAATAAGCTAATTTAATTAAAATAATGACAGACTCTTCATAAAACACTCCTAACACACATACAAATCATGTCAAGTCAGATGAGTTCAAAGGAGAGTTTTAATAAAAAGCATAAACTACGTGTTTAGTACCTAAACTTTTAATATTTTTAAAACCATACATAACATTTAGTTTTTGTTTCATTTTAGTATCCCACCATTAAACATTTAACGCTTTTAGTACCTAAACTATCAGTTTTGGTATGTTTTAGTATCTAAACTTTCAAAAATTTTCCTTCAAAACTTGAGGTTAAGTTTTTAACGGGGGTACTAAAATGAAACAACAACTAAACATTAGGCATGATTTTGAAAAAAAAAATCAAAAGTTTATGTACTAAAATGGACTAAAATTGATAGTTTAAGTACTAAACACGTAGTTTACCCTAAAAAACTATCTTAGCATTTCATCCGGAATGATTAATGGTATTAATTAATGATATTATGAGAGTAAAAGGCCGAAACATACCAAATTAATATGTAAGGAGTAAATCCTAAATTTGATCAAACATAGGGCCCAAAATTATAATATGACCTATTTGTTAATAAGATTATTAATCAATGTGGTAATTAAATTCGGCATTGGTTCTTTTGTTACGTGAGCATGGGATGAAACCATTAGAATCGTCGACAAGCATGGAGGAGGAGGAGGAGACAACGGAAGTGGTGACGGAATTGTTTATCGGACCACCGAGAGAAGAGGTATAAAAAAAACCCTAGTTTGTTAAATAGTTGTTCATTATCTTAATACATTATGAACGAAGCTTCAAAACATTCAAAACAAATTGAGAATATGATTTATATATTGGAGCTATAGCTAAATAAGGATAGAATTGTAATAAAAATTGTGATTTAATGTGTGGAACGTCGGTTATTTGTAATATAGCCGAAGAATATTATTGTTATTAGTACTATTAACTAACTGTAAATTTGATGATATATTATTAATAACTCATCACTAGCAAAAGAACTTGAATGCTTTCATATATATATATATATATATATATATATATATATATATATATATACGGGTTAGAATCAACTTACATAATATAAAACTCTTTAGTTTTATACATATATAGAATCATTAGATGAGTAAAAATATCGGCTAAGATTGATTCCTTATTTTTTTCAGTGAATATCTTCTCATTTCCTACTGTTAATCTTAGTCATCTATTTTCACTCATCCAATGGTCCTAAATCTGTGTGAAACTAAACGAGTTTTACATTGCATAACATGATCTTACCCATATATATATATATATAAGGGTTTAGGATCCACTTAGCCTTTGATTTCTCCTATCCTAACAATCATAAAAAGATGTAAAACTTTATTTTTACACTAGGTGTATTTGGATCATGTTTCATATGTGTGTGTGGGGTGGGATATGATATTCTTTCGCAATGTAAAATTATTTTAGTTTTAAACAGATTTAAGATCGTTTGATGAATGAAAATAGATAGCTGAGAATAAAAGTAGGAAATGAAAAGATATTCACTAAAAAACAATGATTTAATCTTAGTTGTCTGTTTTCACTTATCCAAAAATCTTAAATATGTGTAAAACTAAAATCGTTTTGTATTGTGTAAGTGGATCATAACCCTATATATATGATTACTATTTGTTACGTTGTCCATAGGAAAAACATTCTAATTGTTTAGATGATATAAAATATTTTATTATTTATTTTTTAAAGTGCATTTAAAAATATATTTGACGTCGTTTGAATATTATCTGTAAAATTATTATTTTTATTAAACGTGTATCAAATAATAATTCTATCTATATATCAGGTTAGTATTTTTTATTTAATTTGAGTGTTAATATTATTTCTATTTAATTTATGTTTAGGTTGAAATTTTCAACTTTTAAAAAGAATTTTAAAATGTCTAAACTCTAACTTAAATGATTAAAATTGGCACGAAGGAATTTACAAGAAATCGTTATTGTTCTAGAGGTCATGATTCGAGCATTAATGACTACAAAAATGATTGAACGTTTATTATAAAATAGTTAAGAATATTTAAAACATATATTATTTTATAATCTCCTTAACTAAAAAAAAATAAAAAAAAAAAAAGGCTAAAACTGAATATACAAACAAGCCATGGCTGCTGATATTTTTCAAAACACAGCTATTCTTGTATATATATATTTTTATGAATATCAATTTTTTCCTTTTAAAAACATGCTATTCGTTTATAAAGTTGAGTCTTAATTAAATTAGCACTAACGTTACCGTAACAAATACGAAATTATGTTATGTAAAATGAATGCTCAAGATTTATTAGGTTAAAAAATAAAAGCAATTTCTTAAGGATTACTATTTTTTAATATAGTTGATTATTGAATTAGTTTTTAAATATTTATAATTTGTCTCTTATAAAATTATAAATATAACTTATAGTATTTACACTTTATTTATATAAAATTTTAATACCTTTGATGCCTGTAATATAATTTATCACTTAATTTTATATCATACCTTATAATAAGATTAACATTATACATATGTGCTTACAATTGCATATTTTAATCTAACAATCTCTAAGTTAAGCTACATGTGTTTATGATAATTGTACAACCCTATTATAATCACCATTTTTTTACCATTATTTTCAAACCCAAACAAAACCAGCCGCTCACACCATAGCTGCTGCCAAAATCATCTCAACACTCCACGCCACCGTCATGTCCTGTCACCACCAATCAGTCCCAAGCCATCTCCAACACTCCACGCCAACTCCTTCGGCAGCCCCTTCACAACTCCATTAGCAGCAAGCAAACAACATCAGCAATATTTTTCTTTATTTTTATGTAAATGTAGATCAGTGTATTCTCCCCCATGTTTTCTTTTTTTTTTTTTGAAAAAAATTGTAAAGCTTTCCCTTCATCTTTTTCTTTCATTCGAACAAAGGAGAAAATACAAAAAGAACACTTGTTTTTCAAAGGTCTTAAATTTTCCTTTCTTTATTTTTAATGCAATCTTTCTTTATTTTCGAAACAGAACTGTGAGGGAGGGAGCCAGGCTTTACCTTTCGTTGGTCGTCTGCCGCTGGGGGTTAGAGGGTCACTTCCTTTTCCGCGGTCGCATGTGGCTTTCGGAGTGAGAGCGGTGGCCGGGGTTTGTTTGGGTGTTGTTAGAGCCTTGTGAAGCCATCGGTCAAAGATAAAGGGACGAGTGTGACAGGTGTTTCAGTTTCCAGGTTGTTGGGTCTTCTACGGCTGGTTCGGCGTTGGTTGGAATAGGATAGATTCACCGATTTATGGTGGTCGATGCGCTTGGTCTAGCTTTTGGGGAGTGCGGCGTCGCATGGGTGATCGCACATGAATCCCTGAACATTTGTCGTATTTTCACAAAATGGTCAACATTCTTAGGGGTAAATCACGCGCAAGTTCTTCTTGTTTGGCGTGCTGTGTATTTAGGTCACTATTTCGTAGGTTAATCACCCATAGGTCCTCATAACTTTTCCTTATTTTTATGTTTTAGTCATTAAGTGCATGTTTTGTTTATTTATTTCGATTTTGACATCCTATTGCATTTTATTTCAATTTGGTCATCGTTTTGGATTTTGTTTATTTTGAAATTGGTCACTGATTTCTTTATTTTGTTTCAAATTAACCACTGATTCTTTATTTTATTGTATTTTAGCTAATGTTTATTTAATTGATTTTTTGTTAATGTTTGATTCGATCTTGCGGTGACCAGGTCTGGGGTATGACCCACATTATTACAATCCAAACTTTACTAATTTCTAACTCTAATTTTTTATTAATTTGTTTGAATTGTTATATGAACTTGCGGTGACCTTATATAGGGTATGACCCGTATTATTACGGTCCAGACTCTATTAACAACTAACGTTTCTAACTTCTAACCACTAACCGCTAATTACTAACTGCTAACTTTTTATTGATTTATGTATTTTATTTTATGTTCGAATCATGTACGACCTTGTGACGACCCGCTCGGGGTACGACTTGCATTACTTACGGTCCGAGTTAAAAATTAAAATTAACGATAACATTATATTTTTATTGCACTTTTATTTTTGTTATTTAATTTTATGCACATTTAATTTTTTGCCCTTTATTTTTATTTATTTAATTTCACTCCTTTAATTTCATTACTTTAATTGACTATTTTCTTTATTTTATTTTATCTTTCATTTTTTTTACCTTTAATTTTAGTCCTTTTATATAGTTTAATTGCCTTTAACATTTGTATCCTTTTATTGCCTTTAACATTTGTATCCTTTTAATTTAGCCCTTGATGGATCACCTTTTTTAGATTTAGCCCATAATATTTTAATTATTCGATTCTTATTTAGTCATTAAATTAAGAGAATTCTTAATTTGATCCTCGCTTTTGCTCAAGATTCTAATTTAATTATTCAAATCATAAAATTAATTTAAATTAATATTAGAGCGTCTATTTTAGATTAGATTTCAAACTATTCTTTTTAATTTAGGTAATAATTCGAGTTGTCCCTCACATAAATGCTTAAGGGACCATATCAATTATTCGATCCAATAACTGGTTAAAATCAAGTAGGATTAATATTAGAGTTTACATTTTTATGTTTATGCCTTTTAGTTCTTTAATTATTATAATTTGACACTGTAAGCAAGAGAAAACCTTAATATATCTTTAGTTTAATTATAATTTATTAAAAAATTGTTTGATTGCATTTTATATATTCACTTATTAGGGATTCAATAGTATATCTCGCAAATATGCTCAGGGGGTGATTACTAGTGATTGTCGGAATAGGTCAACATCCTTTTCAAGACCGCATCATGATTTCTAAAATTAAGGAAATTTCTGGTTATTAGGAACAATAGCTGATCTCCCGCATTTATGCTGGGGGTGAATGCTATTGGCATTAATAAACAAATACCCTTTTCAACTTTGCATCCGTAATGGTTTTTAAATTAGATAAAGTTTAAACTCAAAATTCGATTCTAAATATATAGTAATCAACTAGGTATAAATTTTTGGGGGCTTGTGGGGGTACTAATCTTTCCCCACGCGTAACTGACTCCCGAACATGTTTTTTGGATTTTTGCTGAACCTAAAACTTGGTATTTTGAGAAAAATAAAATGTTTTATTAAAATCAACTGGTTTTTATGGTGTCCCAATCGCACCTTGAATGATTGGTGGCGACTTCTCATATTTCATAACCTTTTCAAAGAAAAACTCTAAGTTGATACTTGTTTTTCCCCGCCCGAGCGAAAAACGATGTCGACATATTTGCGACTCCGTTGAGAATATTTTGTTTTTCAAAACAACTTGAGAGCTAAGCCACGAGTTGGTTACCCTATATTTAGGATTTTGGAAAATTATGGGTTTGATCTTATTTATTTTATAGTTCATTATGTTATTTCACAAAAAAAAAAAGATTTTCTATCTAGTTAATGCTTACACTTTTGTGAATTTATTTAGGACTGTTGCATATCATAGCTCTAAAACCGAGCTCAATCCTAATTTACCTAAGTAGGGGGAAATATCACACCTTATGAGGAGCATTGAGCTTCTTATGTGGGTCTGACAAGTACCTCTGGAAAGCCTCCTAAGTTGCCTGTCCGAATATTAATTCTGAGACACACTTTTAGTGGTATGATCCCCTAAGCGGAATTCAATTCATAAGTCTGTAATGAGCCATAATCGGAGTCAACCTTAGCATGTTGTAAAGATGGCTTGAGAGCCCTTTGCTATGTAGAGAATTTAGTAAACCTATTGTGCTAGAGCCATGTCGATAACCTAGGAGAATTAGAACGCATGCGGGTAGGACTCTTAATTTCCTTTGTATGCTTTATTTTTCAGTCTCAACTTTGAGTTATATTTAATTATTTTTGATAAGTTTACATTTACTTGAATAATTATTTTAACTAGCTTGAGTCTTTTTGTTTTGTTTTTACTAACTTGATTTCCTTTTGTCTTATCTTGTGCTTTGTTGTATTTTCACATGAACATGACATATCCTTCAAAGGTATTGATCCTGAAATAATTAATCATTCAGAAGCTTGATAACTCCCTAAAAAGGCTATTTTTAAGGCCTTTTTCACTTAAGTTATTGTTTGTTTAAAAGCTCATTTTAGGATCATGTAGTTGCATATAGTTGCATTAGTGGTGGTGGTGCTATTTTATCTTGTAAACGTGTTGTATGAGGGAAAGGTGTGGTTGTTTATGTTTTGCAGGAAATAACAAGCAAAATGTTACACTGGGAAGGAATGTTGTGACATTGCAATTTACTGAAGTAGATTGAAATGCCTTGGTATTTCTGGCACAGAAAAGGGCAAAAAGATATTTTTACAAATGGGCAACTGGCAAGGCACATGTCTGATGGTTTAACCACCTGCTGGGGACCACTGCCACCTGGGAGGATAAAACTCACGCCCAAGGAGTGACTATAGGGGTATGATGGATATTTGGAGTGTTAAAGCCCATTAATACCCTTGGATATTTTTTATTATTTAATACACCTCATATGCGAGAGAAGATAAATGACACATTGACCATCTTTAGCTAGATTTTCTTCACCGTATCTTTTCTTCCATTCTCTTAGTGATGTTCCTCCATTAACGAGCTCCAAGGAATGGCGAGCTAGGCGTCCGAGAAGAGCTAGCAAGCTAAAGCGAGTCATGGTGGTTAAGGAGAGCTCTGGCTGCGCGTGTCAAAGACTTCTTCTCCCTTCCCCTTTGCTTTCATTTTTCATTTGATATTAGGTTGTTGGAACGAATGAATTTCTTGTTTTGTTTCATGGATGATTCGAACCCCATCATGAACTAACCTTATTTGGTGGGGTTGATTTTATGGATGTTTGATATTATTTTAATGGTAGATTTAAATTTATCTTTTGTATTTACTTGTTTTGCTTATGCATGATTTATCTTCTAAGTTTTTAGGAGGCATGAGAGTGTCCATTACTTTGATGAAGGCTCGGTGTTCGAGAGAAACTTAGCCATTAATACTTGTAGTATTCGAGAGAAACACAAGTAAGATCCACATAAGAAATGGGGTGTAGTATTTTCTTAAGCTTATAACCGACATAATAATACTATATCCTAATACCTTAGTTCTTGAGAGAGACTAAGATAGGATTTCAACGACTAAGAGGGGTAGTTTTTATCACTAGCATAGGCTACCATAGTTGAGACTGAGAGGAGATGCCGTGACATTCTATTATATTATGTTCCTTTGACTATATATAGCGGGAGCACTTTCAGCAAACCCTATCGAGAAAGTGACGTTGAGATAAATCAAATCTGGTTGAGAGATAAGTTTTAGCATCCTTAATTCAATCCCTACCATTCATTCCCGTGGAAGCTTGTTGTGTGAGGATTATCAAACTATCATTCATTTACTGTTTTTACCATTTTTCATTGTCTTGACATTTCTATCATTTTCAACATTATAATCTGATCTTCCCACTACATTTCCATTTGCTACCCCATCAAACTATAAATCGACATCTATCCACACACATTTTTCATTGCCGTGACATTCTCCATTGTTACATATCATTACTAACTATACTTAGATAGAGTAGTGCTTTGCTTTGGTTAAACTTTGTAATTTCCACCAATCCCTGTTGAGACGATACTCACTCATCACTTTATTACTTGAGCGATTGTGTATACTTGCATATTATTTGCGTAAAATTTTTATAGTACCTACAACACGTAATAAGTTTTTGGTGCCGTTGCCGGGGATTGGCAACATGAAGTTAATTAGTTTTTCCAGAGCATTTTATTTTTGCTTTATTCTTGTATAGTTTACTTTATATTTAATTTTTTCTCAGGATTATTTGGTGTATGCCTAGAAGACATTCTGACGAGCCATTGGAACCCATAGAACCTGAGATTGAAAGACTCTTTAAACAAAGAAGATTTTCTCAACGTGTTCGAGAAAATATATATCAAATTAGAAATCAAGGTATTGGTCAAGATGACAGAAACCATAATGCCGAGGCATTACAAAATGTTGTGCCTGCTAATAGGCCTCGGGTTATTCGTGATCATTTAAATCCGATGCTAGATGATTTAAATCCTGGAATTGTGGCACCTGAAATTCAAGCTGCACATTTTAAGCTTAAACCAGTCATGTTTAATATGTTGAATTCCATAGGGCAGTTTGAGGGAATGCCAACTGAAGATGCCAGATATATATTCATAATTTTTTGGAGGTTTGTGATTCTTTCCACTAAGAAGGAGTGCACGAGGATGTCTTGAAATTGAAGTTGTTTCCATATTCTTTGTGTGACCGAGCATGGTCTTGGTTGAGTGGTGTTCATCCGGTTCTATGGAATCATAGGCCGATCT